GCATGTCAACATATTCTGTTACACCAAATACACAAAATAATGATCTTTAAAAAAGCATCATATGACCCCTTTAAGCAGTGGGAATTGATTTTGGCCGATGTATTTTGTTCCTAAATACCTCTTACTCGCTCTAAATATAGACTAGTCCCTGACACAGAGAGTGATATTCAACACATTTCCTGTCACAAAACACATTTCTAGGCCTGTCTTCACATTCACACATCACACCAACTGGTAACAATCAGCTCGGCTCAGAATGATGCTATTGATTGGCAGCTTTTGACCAGCATTTGTTTATGTTATTATTTGCCGTGTCAAGCATCACTATTATTGCCGTTCATACTTAGTGAGATGAATAAATCCTTACACAATGTCCAAACCTGGTGCAAAAATATATATATACATACATACATACATATACATATACATATACATATATATATATAGATTTGAACCCAGTAAGATTTAGCAATGGGTGGGGCTACAAAGTGATGTCACAGCAATGTTATTTTAGTATTACTTATATACTATTATAGTTCTTATTAACATTTTGAATTTGCCTTTTTTATATTTTAGTTTTCATCTTTAGTAATTATGTGCTTTTGTTATCTGCTTTTAAATAATACATATGTAATATATTTGAATGTTTTTTTATTATTTTAAATAATAGGTAATAACTTATTTTTATTTCAGTTTTAGTTGTATTTCAGTTTTGATTCATTTGTAATAAAAAGTTGGTCTGTTTAGTGCTATGTGGAAAAATAAATAAACAAACAAATAAATACATAAATAGGTATATATCAGCTTTCAGTTTTATTTCCATTAACAAATATGTTTTTGTTAATGATAATAATCAAAAATATATATATACATACATACATACATATACATATACATATACATATATATATATAGATTTGAACCCAGTAAGATTTAGCAATGGGTGGGGCTACAAAGTGATGTCACAGCAATGTTATTTTAGTATTACTTATATACTATTATAGTTCTTATTAACATTTTGAATTTGCCTTTTTTATATTTTAGTTTTCATCTTTAGTAATTATGTGCTTTTGTTATCTGCTTTTAAATAATACATATGTAATATATTTGAATGTTTTTTTATTATTTTAAATAATAGGTAATAACTTATTTTTATTTCAGTTTTAGTTGTATTTCAGTTTTGATTCATTTGTAATAAAAAGTTGGTCTGTTTAGTGCTATGTGGAAAAATAAATAAAGAAACAAATAAATACATAAATAGGTATATATCAGCTTTCAGTTTTATTTCCATTAGCAAATATGTTTTTGTTAATGATAATAATAGAAACGGAATCAACAAAAAAATAATAGAAACCAATAAAAAAAATGTCATGTTGTTTGTCACAATTGATGGTTAGGACAAAAACTTTGAATGTACTTGGATAGATGGATAGATCCCAAACTTTTCTGTCAGTTAAATTCCTTTGGACCTAAAATATTTCCTTGGAGTACCTCTGACATTTTACATTACTGTTTTAATATTATAACAACACATCTGCATATTCACAATTCTCTGATTTCGGATAATGATTGCATGACATGCAGGAAAACAAATAAAATATTATTAATCCAATATTATAATATTGTATATAAATTAGTATAATATTTAAAGTGTTTGATTTAGATTTATTTTTATTTAAAATTATTTGATTACATTTTATTATTCACTTAATTATAAATAAATTAATTATTTAAAATTGTAATTTTATATTTTTGTGATTCAATTGTTAGCTTTTCATCAACTGATGCACCCCAGTTTGGGAAACGCCCATTTATGTTGTTTGGTTATAAACTGTGTTCTCCACACAATGGCATGACACTATTTTGAAAGTCTCTCAGTTTTCTGAAGGCTCAAGAGCAGACCTGAAACCCAAATCCGTCAGGGTCAGAGTCCAGTGTTGTGAGCATTAATATGAGACTGACCTGTGTCTGGCGTGTGTAATTATGCCGAGAGGGGTGAACTGTCAGATTTCTACTGACACCGCATTAAAGTGGGATTTTTCTGACGACATCCTAGGGTTAATTAAAACCTGTGGGCATTAGATTAAGGTGAATCATACCAGAGATGAAACAGAGCCGCGCGTGTGTGTGTGTGTGTGTTATATTACAGCTCATAGATTCCCAATACTTGATTCTGATTGTTAAATATTTAACAAGTACCATAGTTTTAGACATGGTACTGTAATACCAAGATATTCTTTGAAGTAAAAGAAAGAACAACAATTAATCAAATCTGATAATACTGATAGACCCCATTGTTAAAAAATATTTTTTATTATATGTAATTTTACTTTATATTTAAAATAATATATATTTAATATATATTTATATACATATACAAGTCAGTGTACATGTCATACTTTCTGGCCACCAGATGTCACTATAGGCCAGAATATCAGTGTAGGTTGCTCAGAAAATCACCAGAGACTATCTGAAACTGAGACTTGACTTACTTAAATGTACTCATATATGCACAGAAATGTACATGTATTCTTCTCTGGTATTTTTGTCATATGGCAATTCTTTCATCAGTTTCATCATAAGATAAGTTTTGATAGTATGTTGTTCTGAACACGGCTGAAGTTTCATCCTTTATTTATATGGTACATGTTCTAACATCATTATGTATTGATAACATTCAGTTATTGATGATAATGATGGTGGTGTGTGTATGAAGGTGTGCATGTGAGAGAAGAATAATAGGAAAATATTCTGTGTGCAAACACGTGTGTGTGTGTGTTTTGACTCCAACATATTCACATACACACAGAAATGTACATGTATTCTGCTCATGTATTTTTGTCATATGGCAACTCTTTCAACAGTTTCATCATAAACTCTTTCATCAGTTTCATCATGAGATTAGTTATGCTAGTATGCTGTTCTGAACATGGCAAAGGTTTCATCCTTTATTTATATATTTCGTGTTCTAACATCATTAGGTATTGATCACATTCAGTTATTGATGATAATGATGGTGGTGTGTATATGTAGGTATGCATGTGAGAGACGAATAATAGGAAAATATTCTGTGTGCAAGTGTGTGTGTGTGTTTTGAATGCTCTCTGGTTGGCAGTGCTGTAAAGAGCTTCATTGTGCTGTGTGTGTATAGAGCCACTGTTCACAGGAATGAACACCCATCCACTGCCAATGAAACCACTGCACATGCACATGATAACACACACACACACACATACAAATATAGACAATAAAATCATTGCCAGCCAGTAAATGTGTGTGTCTGTCATGAGGCTGGACATTTTTCCAATATTCCCTCTCTGTTTCTCCCTCTCTTTTTATGGCTGATTCTTCAACATACGTCTGTTGAGATGAACATTCATCTCACATCCTGGAAAATCTGATCCTGTCCTTGAACTGCCAATGAAACCACTGCACATGCACATGATAACACACACACACACACATACAAATATAGACAATAAAATCATTGCCAGCCAGTAAATGTGTGTGTCTGTCATGAGGCTGGACATTTTTCCAATATTCCCTCTCTGTTTCTCCCTCTCTTTTTATGGCCGATTCTTCAACATACGTCTGTTGAGATGAACATTCATCTCACATCCTGGAAAATCTGATCTGTCCTTGATCAAGTACATTTGGAAAATGTACTCACCCTCAGGCCATGAGTTCGTTTATTCATGGGAACAGATTTGTAGAAATGTAGCATTGCATCTCTTGCTCACCAATGGATGCTCTGCAGTGAATGGGTGCCGTCAGAATGAGAGTCCAAACAGCTGATAAAAACATCACAATAATCCACAAGTAATCCACACCACTCCAGTCCATCAGTTAACATCTTGAGAAGTGAAAAGCTGCATGTTTGTAAGAAACAAATCTATCAAGACCTTTTTTACTTTAAACCATGGCTTCTGGCCAAAATACAAGTCCATAATCCATAATAATGCTTCCTCCATTGAAAAAGTCCAAAAGTGGTGTCTTACAAACATGCAGCTTTTCGCTTCACAAGATGTTAATTTATGGACTGGAGTGGTGTGGATTACTTGTGGATTGTTGTGATGTTTTTATAAGCTGTTTGGACTCTCATTCTGATGGCACCCATTCACTGCAGAGGGTCCATTAGTGATCAAGTGATGTAATACTACATTTCTTCAAATCTGTTGCGGTGAAATAAACTCATCTACATCTTGGATGGCCTGAGAGTACATTTTCAGCACATGTTAATTTTTGGGCGAACTACTTCTTTAAAAACAACATTTCCTGATTTGTGATTGAAAACAAACCTTGAACACTGGTTTATTGATTGATTTGTTCTGTCTGCATGTTTTTGACTGGAAAGATTAGTAGTGTAACGTTTGGCACAAACACTGGACTCTGATTCCTGGCCTGTGGGAGTTTGTGATGTTATGCAACATCACTTTAGCACAGACTGACTGCAGCAGGGAGAAACCAGAAACTGGCTCGAATTAATATACAAGAA